AATGACAACAAATTGAGGAGGCATCTTTTTCAACTATTTTTATAAAGGAAACTGGGGGAAACTTTAGTGACAAAGGAAGAATGAGCCTGGTGAGATGCTCATAACATGTGCAAGGTGTCCTTCCAACTCAGCCCTTTCAGCACAACTGATGGCCTGGGAACCTATAGAGAATGATGCAGAGAGACTCAGAAATTCAGATTTCCCTACACAACAGCATTTTGTTGCTACCTGGGTCCATGGTGCATAACTCAACTTACAGTAGTCTCTCAAAGTTATCTGGAGTCTCCATATATCTCTGGCAAATGATGAAGCCAGCAGCTATGCTCACACCATAGGGACATCTTTAGTAGCATTTGTCTTCTTTAGTACCCTTAACTGTATATTTCTATACATCATTTTTTGAGCAGAGCTCATTCAAAAATAATTGTTTGGACATGTCTTCGGTTTCCTCTTTTCACATGCCACATTGGTAAAAAAGAATAGAGGAAAAAAAGAGGTCTATGAAAATATTCCCCTTTTTTTGCCATTGCAACAAGGAACAATGAATGAAAAGGAGAGGCAAAAAAAGGAAATACTTTAATGTTTTGGTTTTTTTCCTATTTTAAAAAAGAAAACTTTAAATACAATTAGAAATGAAACATGCACAGCCTCCTACGCACTGATGCAGCCTGTAGCTACCACCAAGGGTCAAGTGCTTCTTGTCAAGGCAGTTTCTAATGCCCAGACCTTTTCAGAACGTCAAGAGGTGCTATTTACTTAATAAATGCACAAACATGTCGTTAAACCTGTTAGAACACAGCTTCTGCTGTATCTCAGTGAATGAACAGTGGGGAAAGTGGCAATGTTTCTTGGGTAATGTAAGAGCACATGGTTTGTTGTAGGAGGGAGGGGGCTTGGTGCTTTTCCTAGTGCAACATTGCCAGCAGGGATGCTGATCTCAAAAGTAAACCTTCTTGCCTGCTCATTTAGGAAGGAGCGGACTAGTAATAAAAGTGGCAGGGATTTCCAAGCAAATGTTAAAATTGAAAGCCAGCGCACAAAGAGATATGTTTTGTAGTGCAACAAGAATTCTCTAAACCAGTTAATTACAGAAGTTTTGCAAGAAAAATAGTGTTTATAGTTTATGGTAAGTTGTGTCAGTGTTTATGAAATCCTTTTGGATAGTGTTTTCTGTTTATTTTCTCTAATGTTTGCTAAGTCTTAGCATATGTTGTTGTAAATCCAGATAGAGTCACAGTGTGATTGGGGAACTTTGTTTAGCGTGCCACAGTGTTTCTCTGGCATCCAGTTTCTGGTAGCTACTGAGAGAGAGGTCTGGAATGGCTGAGTGCACAGGGCAGGCCATGCTCTAAATGGAAAGTAAATTAGTTTCATGTGAATATATTAAGTCATTTTTTTCAAGAATGTAAAGCCTTCGGGTGACTGAAGGGTGGAGAATGACAAAACTGGGATCTGTGATTTCTGTCTCCAAATATTTTTATTATTCTGTTGAAGTCTTCTCAAATCCAGTAAGTAGGGCGGTGAAAATTAAAGAAGTGATCTTTATTTCAAATCTATACTGGAAAAAAAAATCCTGACAATTATAATGATAAGGTTTGTCATTGAAACATGAAAAATAACAGAGCTTGGGGCCTCATAGGTTAATGATAACTTTCTCAAGAATTTTGTTCACAATCTCAATAATGATTTCATGTGCTTTATCTTTCACATACATAGATAAAGCCTTTTAATCTTTAATTAACTGATTTGTCTTAATTTCGTAGCTGTAGAGTTCTTCGTGGAAGAAGGGAGAATTTCATTATCAGCTATAAGAATACACAAAGCTACATCCTGGGGTTATATAGCAAGTGATCAGAAAGTTCAGATACTGCGGGTACATGAAGGGTGGATGTGGTAGAGGGGTTTTTTTCAATTTAAAAGCAAGTATCTTGACATCTGTACTGAGTAAGGCCACTGGCTTTTTTTTTTTCCTCAGGTGATGGGGGATTTTTTGCAGCTGCTGTGCCCTTTCAAGACTCTTTATTCACTTTTTAGCTTCCATAACTCTGGTGGCCTGAGTTTGAAGTCTTCTCTCTACTTTGTTTCTGCTGAAATGTTTCTGTATGGTTTATTATTGTCAGCTTCATTATTTTGCCCACCATGCTGTTCCTGTTCTCCCTTTTAGCAAGACTGACAATAACAACTTTCTGTAGAGTTTTTCAGCAGAAATTTCTCATCAAATGAAACTTCTCTCAATAAGCACAACCTTTTTTTCAACTTATTTTTTAACTAGAAAAATGGAAAAATATAATACTTTTTGTGGTTCTGCATGGAAGCTGTTGGAGACATTTTATAAACTGATAGTTTTCCATTGAATATACCAGTTATTAGTTTTACCCCCTTTGAAATTTTTCTAGACAAACAAAACAGTTTTACAGCAAGCACTTGCTCTTCTGCTTACAGCCTATTGAAGGTGCCTGGGGGATGCTGGTCTTTTTAATTATTGCTTTATCCCCTCTCACCTTGACCTAACTGTGCCCTGGTAGGGAATGTTTGCCTACCTCTAACTGATTTACAGCAGATGTTAGTGGTAATAAATTATATCCCACTTCCCCCAGCTCCCTTTTTTTTCTAGAGCTGCTTGAATGTTTTCAAATGAAAAGTCTCTCAACCTTAAAATGCTTTTTTTTTTTCCAAAATGCATATTTTGAAGGGTTATGGATTTTTTCTCTTCCCCCCCACCACCCCCAGTTACACTGAAAAGCAAAGGCTGCATTTTATCCCCTTTCTTTATTTTTGCTTTCCTTTTGCTACTGGAAAGAATGGCACTAAGAGGAAAATACAAGAAAAGGAAAGGTAAAAAATACCGTGACAACAGAAGAACTTCTATGGAAAAAAAGTGAATAACTGAAATAGCTCACTGGCAGAGCTCATGGAACAAGAAAAAAAAAAAAAGTTCAACCCTGACATGTTTTAATTTTTCCCTGTTTTTCCACCAGTTCCCTCTTGACATTACCAAGCAACCACTTGGTCCTTGTTTCATGAAGCACGTGCTAGGCCAGGTAGATGACTTCATGCCTCTTAAGTCAAGCATTTGTTCTACCAGCTCTTTGCACAGATGCAGCTGCCAGAGTTCCAACCACGCTCACAGGAACCAACCTCCATCACCAGTCTCATGCTTCCTAAGAAATAGCAGGAGAATGACCGGGAACATGAGGGCCCAACTTGAAAGGTATTTCCTGAGTCAGAATTAGGCTGGAGATCAGAGGAGAGTTCCTGAGGCAGGGATGCCCCCAAATCCCCATTTTCCACCCCAGTTCTGCTGCCAGGCTCTCTGCAGTGTTGCCTGGCCATCACAACCTAACTCCACAGACTAGGTATAAGGTCCAAGCCTGGCCCCTTCCAGGGAATGCTGTAACCAGTGTTGGTTTGCCAGAGCTTCTGTCCATGACATTATAAACACAAACACCCTGTAGGTAATAGAAGGTGCTGAAGGAAGCCTTTTCCTATAGTGCTCCTATTTTGTTCCTAGCAGGGACCTTAATATAATGATACAGGTTAATATTGCATGTGGGACTTACACTAAGGCCATTTCAGATGAGCTAATTGCCAATGTCTTAAGTGAGGGCACCAGTTGGTGGATATTATCTCTGTGTCTAATTATGTCCACCAGCAAATTGCAAAGTGAAATTCATGGTACTAATTTTATTTATTTATTGATTTCTGTGAAATCCTAGAAGAACCAGAAAATCTGAAGACGTTTTCTTTTCAACTTGCTTTAGGCAGAACTGTCCCAAAAAGTCAATTTTCAGGGAGAAGAAACATTTTTGGAAGTTGGCCCTTTCCTTGGGAGTCTGTAAACTCTAAAAAGCAGAGAAACCTGTAACTGTCTTCCTACAGAAAGGACAGTGAAGTCCCTCCCCATCCTGCAAATATGCAAGGCTTAATTGTGTGTGTATGCGTGCTCATAATCCTATGAATTTAAATTTGGCAACTCTCATGTAAACTTCACTTTATTAATTACATCTGTGGGAGCAAAGGGTCAGCTCTATGAAATATTATTAATTCTGCTTGCTTTTGTAACTAGCTAAGAGCTTTACATTAATATTGTAACCAAGTTACACCATATAAAAGAAATAAAGACACAAGGCACAAAGAGCAAAGTCTATATTCTGAAAACAACCAACCAAACAGGCTTCATCTTAATTTTGCCAGGAACTGAAGAGTTTGTTCCTCAGTTCATAGAATCATACAATGGTTTGGGTTGGAAGAGGCCTTAAAGATCTCTTTAGTTTCAGCCCCTCTGCCGTGGAACCAAATTCCTTGACAAAATGGCATAAAGGGAGTTTCCAAACTCCCCCTGCTACTTTAAGTAGTCTCTCCCTATAATTTCTAAGGAGGTTATGGGGGTGTGCGTGTGTCCCCACTGCATCATCCCTGGAGTAAACCATCGCAGCCAGCCATACAAATCTTGTGTTACAGCAAAAGAGAGGTGGAAAAAAACCCAGGTAAAACTAATTCGGGACTACCAGGTAGCCACAGTCAGTGGCACACAGGAATTCAGGCAGGTTGCCCTGCTGTTTCAGGGCCCAGGGTGCATCTCCTTCTCAGATGAGGAAAATCATTCACTTTTTAACTAACACATCACTGTGTAGAAATCAAGGGAGGAAAAATCCTCGCCAGAGCGCTGAGAGAAGGAGAGGGCAGGGTTGATCGCAGGGCTGCTGCTCAGACTTCGGAGCACTCAGGCTTTGGAGCCCCCCGGGCAGCTTGTGTTTCCAGGCGTCTCACATCGCAGATCTGATTTCAGGCTCAGCCACGGGCAGGCAATGGGTTAACGGGGGACGCAGCACGTAAACTCTATCTGTGGAGATTATGGCATGTTTATCCAGTGTTCAGATTTCCTGTCTGAGTGTTTGGATTTCCTGAAATCCCTGCTATCAGCCCAAGTGCTGTCCACTGAGCAGATCTTTTTTTCTCTCTTTCTTTTTTTTTTCTCCCCCCCCCCCCCCCTTTTTTTTTTTAACTTTGCTCACATGGTAGGTTTTCCTTCCTGCTCTCTTTCCAGTTGTAGTGCCTGTGTCTACTCACCGGTCAGGACATTTATGGATGCAGATCAACACGCTTAGACTCCAGAACTCTGAGGATTGCCGTAGATTGGATTTCCTTTCTATTATTATTATTTTATTTCAGTTTATTTTATCATTTTGTGGCAAGAAAAGCTGAAGAAACATGCTCTTTTTCAGCTGCCCATGGGAAGATACGTTTTAATCTGAGATGGAATAATGGCCTTAGGCTTGAGGAGCAAATCTGGAATGGGAATTCAGACTGCACACGTCCTGGTGAGTTACAGCACGTCGGGGCTGAGAGTGGCTGGTAACGAGCAGCACGGAGACAGGGACAAAGGCTGAGCCCGTCCATTCAATGTGGCTGCGGAGCAAACTGCAGATGGGTGAAAGCTGAAGTCAGAACTTTTTCCAAAAGTCAGAACTTTTTCCAAAAGAAACAACCGAAGTCCATTTTTAGTTCTAAAAATACACGCTGCTCTACATCCCAGATAATGCCTAGGTAGCAAAATGCGTAAGGCCAGACTCTGTGAGTCCTTACTCATGTAAGTAACTTTTACTCCCATAAACAACCTCAGTGGCTTTAAAATGAGCTCGTGTAAGAAAGGAATTGCAGAATAGGGCCCACTTTGTAAATTGCAATGTCTCGCTCTCAGCAAAAATTAATCTGCAAAGTAAAATGAGCATTTTCTGAGTGTCTTTGCATGTTTCCTTGGCCTTTTATGTTTTATTGTTGATCTAGATTTACATTTTAAGAAGAAACTATGTGCCAACTATTTGTCCTATTGTCTCTTAAATAAGTTTGCAGTAGGAGTGACAACTGTATTCTCATGCAGCAACATTCTGGGAGGCCAGGAAGGGGCTTTCTGTTGTTGGAGGGAAAATGCTGAGTGCTATGCTGCTCTGAATGAACTGGAAAGCTGCATTCAGACATGGGGTTTGGCTTAGATAAGGTTTGAGCTTAATTTTTGGATGTGAGAGTTCATGATGGCATTATCAGCCTTAGGTGGTTTCAGTTAACCACAGTCACAAATGCAATGAGTTGATCAGTCTCTAAATCACTGCCTCAGAATTTGAAAAGAAAAAGTCTTCTTTTCAGGCCTCTTTCAAGCAGATTTCATTGTTGGCACCCATGGAAGTGTTGCTGGAGTAAGATGTGGAAGATAAAGCATCATCACTGTTGCAACTTTTGTTCTGTCCCATAGCTAGAGGCTCTGGTTGTGCTGAACATTCCTGAGCTGCTCATTGGAGCCAGTCCAGGGATTTGATTCTGTAATTGTAAGGGAAAAGTTTGATTCAGACCTTGCTTAGATGTGTGAGGAAACATCTATAGGAAACCCAGCTTTCTATAGTAATTTTACTTTAGCTCTGATTTTCCTTAGACTATTTCGTAAGTCCTGAATTCTAGTGTATAATACTGCATATCAAACAAGAGACTTTAATATTTAAATTTTGGGGGTTTAGTAGGACAGAATACTTTCCTTTTTTTATATACCAATAAAGGGAAAGAGCCATTTTCCAAATTCTTTGCAAAGTTTCCAGATCTGAAGTTTTTAAACTAATTGCCTGATGTGCCGGTTTTCCATACAACCCTTTGAATGTGATCCTGCTGCTCATCTTCAAGGTTTACTTTGCTATCAGAGGAAAGTTTACAAGACCAGCCAGACCAAACTCGTGTCTTGTCTGCCTGGGAGCCTTCAGGAATTCATTTTAATCATTAACACGGGGCAACACTGAAACGGATGGCATTTTATGCATTGAAAGGTCAGTTCTTCCTGTGTATGTAGGTTGTACTCTCACTGTAGTGAATTGACTGTCAGAAATGAAAGGAGGGCCAAGGAGTGCCTCACTGAGTTAGACTGGACCTGCCTTGTGGGTAACATGCAATTTGGTGGTCTGTGATGCAACCAAACCGGCTGTAGCAGAAATGTGCCCCTCTCAAAGCTGAAAGAAGAGTCAAATGTCACCAATGATCCACGAAATGCAGAAAATACAGAGTACGGATGAGGAGTCAGGGGAAATATAGAGACTCATCTAGGTCTACCCAAATTTCCCATCTTTGGAAATTTTGTTGGCTTTCTGACGAGCAAGATGCTTGGGACTGGTTTGGCTGTGGGGTTTTACCCCTTTTCTGCAGGGTTGTCAGAACTTTTCTGGTTTCATCCAGGTTGGAAATGCTGTGGGAATAGTTTTTCTGGTGGTATTTTGGTATTTCCTCTTCTGCTCACACCCAGAGCAGGAAGTGCAGAAGCACAACCTTCAGCTCATTGTGTACGTGTTTCTTTTTATAAACCTGAATTCTCTGCCCTCCCCCCTCTTTTTTTTCTTTTCCCCTGATAGCCTTCACATAGGATTAAGTTTCTGTTTGATTTAGACTGAGAATTTTTTGTCTTTTCACAAAACTATACCAAGCACTAAGTAGTTCCTTAATAATTCCCTAATAAGTGATTATCATATTAGTTTTTAATTATCTAAGTGCTATATTACCAATCAGCTACCCACAGCCAATAATGTTAATGTAACAATATCCCCCAGTAGGTGCTTCTGCTGAACCTTCAGCAGCATGAGGACTAACTGGTCACCAAGACCTACCTACTCAGTTGCCCATGAAAAAATTCTGCAAAAGGTCTTTTTTTTTTTTTTTTGTAACCCACCACAACCATTAAACTCTGTAAGATTAGACTCTTCATGCTTTAATGTTCCTTCCCTCACTCATTTTCTTTTTCTGCATCAGTGAGGAGGTTCAGCTCATATGCCCTCACTCCACGTGTCCAACTCACTCACCATCACAGCTGCCAGTATTCCTGACTTTCTTGCTGTTGTTGGCAAGTATGGATAAACAATTTTGACAGGTACAGAGTCCTGCAGAGCTAACTTCATACACACAGTGATGTTTCACTGCTGAGATGATGAATAGACCAGAGGAACTAAACCACTTTCCCCAAAAATGTTCCCCACATCCAAAGCTTTTAACCCCACCCTTTTATGCAGTTTTCCACAAAAAGCAAAGGATTCAATTTTGTTTCATACCTGAGAAAGCAGATCACATTTAGATTGCAGCTTTTGCCTCAAGAATCTCTTAGCCACCTTGTATTGTCTTTAATCTGCCATTTTATAAACGAAAATAAAATTAAGATGAATCTTAAAGTTGGCCCATGGCAAAATAATTATCTCTATTTCCACTTGGGTCCACTCTCAGGACCGCTACGTGAACAGCTCTGCCAGTCGTGTTTGGCAACTGTCCCCATGTTGGATTCCGTTTGTAAGACAATTTGCTCTTCAGCATCACAGTCCTCAAAAAGGCAAGGAAATACAAGCAAAGGGAAGTTAATTTACTTCACTAAAACCCTCTGTAATTTAAGAAGATTTAAGTAGAGGCAATGGAATTACTGAGGGGATTTGAGTTCTGTGTTTGTTTTGGGGTGTTTCTTTTTTCATTGCTGTTGGCTCCAAGTCTCTCTCTTGGGCTTTGGGGAGTTGCAGTGCTCCAGGGAGAGGGCACAAGGAGAGGGAGGGAAAAACTATGTGGGCCATTATTTCAGAGACTGATTAGCAGCAGGGCTCTGCCTAGACCACACATTGCTCCTCCCATGTGGCACCCACAAGCCAAGCTCCATCCATGCTGAAGAGAGCGAGATGTGAAACTCCTTGCTCAGTCCCCCTGAACCCCAACACTGCGTTCAGCCCCGCCAAGTGATGTTTTTAGTGTATCCTCCTCTATCTTGACTGGAGTTAACAAAATCCATCTGTCTCTGTGAGTCAGCAGAAAAGTATTTGGTTTTTATAAGAGTTAAGGGACATGGGATAGGGCAATGTCAAAGTGCAGAAGTCTTCCCCCAGCTAGGCTCTTGCGCATCACACACAGAGAGAAGGTTGTATTTTCAGTTCCTATTCACCAGACAAGCTGATTTACACTAGCACAGGACGTGGCCCGTTGGGGTACATGGCCATGGCTGCCGAACAAGACTCCTTTCATCAGCAAACAAAAGTGCAAATGGGCATCAACCAGCACACACCGTGATGCAGCAGCTGCTGGCAGTTTGGGAAAGCCAAAAGAAAACTCTATTTTCTTCTCATCAAAAGCAAAATGAGGAAGCCTCCCCTCTCCCCTTCCTCCCCCGACACTACCACCCTGGCTCAAGCGAGTTGATACGTAGGTATTTGTGTGGGGGTTTGTTCTCAGTGGTTAACCACATAACAATTTGAAGCATGTGGCTAAATCAAAAGAAACTGCCTTTAAACATTTGCAGGCTGTAATTGTGTTGGAGAGAGTGGAACCCCGGTTGGGGGCTGCTGGCCGCCCTGGGGGCTGCGGCAGGAAGCCTTGAACATCCCACAGCAAGGTCCCGCGAAGAGGGGGGAAAAGCTGATTTTAAGTCTAAGAACTTCTTGACAATGCTCTGCAGCCAGGGCCAGATGTTCCCAACTCCTCTTTCGCGTCTTTACTTGGTGTGCCAGGGCGAAATGCCTGACGGGAAACAAAACAGAGGGAAGAGAGGTGGCAAAAAGAGGGAGAGTGTTCTGTCACACCACTTTCATAAATAAAGCCAGAGGAAAAATAACAAACAAATTGGAGAAGTTTTGCTGTGAAGCTGAGCGTGCCTGAGACTGCTGTGTAATCCCTGGGGGAAGGAGTGAGAGGTGGGTGGTGTGCGTTGGAGAACCAGGCTCTGGAGGGGAGGGCAAGGAACAACCGTGTTTGGGAGTGGTAAAATGCCTCATTAGAGCTCCTTCATCCCTCAAACCTGAATTTGTTGGACAGGGAGGAAAGACTAGAGAGAGATGTACTTGTGTAGGTAAAGATTCCAGCACCTGCATGATGCCACATTATCCCAGAACTGTGGAGCTAATGCTAACATCCAGTTTTAAAGCATTTTGGGCTTAAAGAAGATATAAAACTGAAGATTGCAACATTTCCCCATGGGAGAAGCTGTCCATGAGACATTCTGCAAGTGGTTTGTGACTCTCTAAGGTCATGGGCTTTTAATTGCCATTTGATCCAGTGCATCCTCAGTCCATGATTAGGAAAGCCTTAGTTACACATGGACATAATCCAAAGTGATCATTGCACAAACAAAAGAGGGAAATCAATCTTCTTCACCCAGCTGCAAACCTCACTTATAATTTAGTAGGTAAAAATACCACATCTGTACAATCACCAGAATGGTCCCTGATCTAGCAAAGTAAATGACTTTTGGAGTATGGCCTTAAGGTTGAAAACTCAACCTTATTTGGAGAAAAAGCAAATAAGGCCTTGACAAATCCTCTCTCCTGGTTACAGTGACTGAAGCTGTAGCCTTGTGAGACAGGGATTAGATGGGCTGGGATTGCAGTTAGAAATCTAGCTGTGCCCCAGGGTCCTGGAAGGACCTGCAACTCCATGCATCCCTCATATCTGTTCTCCAGCGTGGGGAAAAAAGAAATCAACTTTTAGTTAGTGGCTGAACGACACCCCTGGGATTGCCACCTTCTAGCATGGAATTATGATGTAACCACAGGTAAATCACTGCAGGCACGACCTAGACCAGCAGCAGGAGCAGCGTGGCTGGCTCCCACTTACTTTTTGTTCATCTCTGCAGGAGCCAAAAGGGAGCAGGTACTTGGGAAATGCAGGGCACATGGTTGATGTTCTCCTGAAAACTATGGTGGAAAGGAGAGGAGGGAGATGTGTCCTGCCACGGCTGGCACAGCTGCATGCCCCTTTTATAGCAGTTGGCCAAATGCCTAGAAAGCAATTTTGTCCTGGCTAGAACTGTCAGACAGAGAGAGAGCAGGACATTTCAGGTGCTAGGACAAGCCTTATGGTATCTAGATTCAGCATAACACCAAGCCCTTAGCATAGTGCTATGATTCTATATAGGAACATAAAACCACCTGAGCCAATGCTTCAGGATCCTGTCTCCAGTAGTGGCTGACACATGTAGGATACAACAATTGAACAGGAAGAACATGTAGAGATATATCCCCAGATTACAGCCCTGGCTTTCCAGGATCTCATCTAGAGGATTTTCTGAGCCAGAGCTCATACTTAGGATGTGCTTGTCCTGCAGATATTAGCAACATGGATTTGTAAGCTTTTTCCTAGCTAATAGACATTTTAAGTATCAATTTAAAAGAAGGCTTTTATGGGTACACAAGATTGGTAGACAAAGGTGGGTAAGCAAATTAATGGAAGGAATTTTGTCCTGAATTTACAGGTATTAAATCATTACTGACAGTGAGGGTACAATCCTAGTTTCCTAGTTGATTTATAGTAGTGTTACAAACTGAATTTTGTGGAAATATTTCAGTTTTATTTGTCAGTAAATAAGATTATGCCAGCACCATGGAAATCTAACACTTACTGTATCTAATTTAGCATGGAACTATATTGGTACTTTCCTTATGCATTAAAATTCAAGCAGTTCAGTAGTCACACAAATTAATATGCTTACTGATGTAATCATTTACATAATGGCATATTTGTCATAAAATGTGTAAGATTGCATTCTCTGCTCATGTAGGATATTTGCTCCATCCATCTGATAAGAGGCAGGCTGTAGTTGCACATCTTTTAATAATTATTTCAGCAGGTGTCCTTTTATTCCTGTTCATAATTAGTAGCCAAGTACTTAGCAAAGCTTGTCAGGATCAGAAATTCCTACAATTGAGTAGTTGTCTATATTCATGAACAAAGAGGACCTCTACCTTGGTAGAATAATTTCTGAAGATATTTTAAAATAACTAAGGTATTTAACACTAACAGGTACCATAATTCTACATTAAGTGTAGAGCTTTTGAATGATTATCAACCAGCAGGGTATAATTCCGATGTTACATTTGTCCTAAATTTATGTCACAATCTGATTCCAGATTTAATCAATGGTAAGATAGGTCTTTGCCAGAATCCTAGATCTCACAGGTTATTTAAACCTCGTAATTTTTATTTCCTGTGTTTATGAATTTGGGGTTGAGAAGGAGCTATCATATTGCACTATTGACCAGGATGAGGTTAAAATTGACTATCCAAGATGATCTACAACTGGTATTTGTTCTCACTACCTAGACAAATGGGATTTGGTTCAGTGGAAACATATTTCCTTACTTTTGAGAATATTAGACTTAAAGGGCGTCAGTAGCACAGGAACAAGGATAAAAAGGTGACTGTAAGTCATGTGCTGGAGCCATACAACAGCCTACCTGACATCTGGTCTGAATTACAGAAATCTCTAGATGGCTGAGATTTATGTTTTTCTTCACAGAGTTCCTTGGAAGCTCAGAACAGTAATTATGGTGTTTCCCCCATAGGGTGGTATATACATGTCTGCACAGGGTATATCACAAACTCCTACGCTTCGTCCCTTCCATTGCCTTTGAGCACAGAGAACAGCCTGGCTGTAAGGCTCCTCTTCAGCCAGAAACATCCTTCCCCCAAGGATCATTTCTAACACTAATTCTGCCCATTTTAAGGTTTCCCAAACAGACTAACCTCTAAGCTCTAAGCATCTCCTTCTCAAGTTTGGGGTGTGCAATAGGCTCATGTCCTGTGAGTCACATCAGCAGTGTCCTAAGCAAAGCCCTCCAATAGCTACAACTTGAGCATGAGAATTAGACTTAGAAGTAAACTCCTGACATAGATTTACACCATTAGATTAGGAACAAGAGGGAACATGACCCCAGCCAGTAAGATCAGGTTTAGGCTGACCCTAAGGAAAACAAGGAGCCTTAGACAACACTTTTCCATGATGTTGGTGCTTAAAAACACCTTTTAATTTAAGGGAACCTTATTTGTGTTGTGATTTACACCCTGGGACAAAAAAGTAGCTTACATCATGGAAATTCATACTATTTAAATGGAATTTAAATAATGTGTTATTGAGAACTTTGCAATATCTACAGCCTGTCTCTCTAAGTGAGATTGAAGTAACTGCGTGCTGTGTGTGCATGTGTCCCCCTGAGACTTTGACACCCCCCCCAACCAAGACAGGTGGAGGAACAGAGGACTCAAGAGCTCCTACACACTTTGTAAAAACAGGTAGACTGCTAGAAGGAGGAAACAATGCTTGAAACCTCTAACTAACTCTTCCCCAAGGGAAAAGCCACAACTACTGAGAGACAAAAAGAGAATTTCCACAGGAGTGCAGTGCTGTGCTCACAACAACCCAGGAGAAAAACTTGCACAAGCGTTTGCCCCTCCAGGCTGTCCACATGGGGCTTCAGAGTTCCCAAACCTTCTTGGTGTTCATGCAAACCTGGGTATGCCAGTGTGGCTTTAGGAGCAATAACATTTAGGTGAAATACACCTGTTGTTATTTATCTGAGTGCTTAAATTCTCTCTCCTTGGAGAAACACCTTCTTGCCATTAAACAGGCCATTAAACCACCATGTTAATGCAAAAAAGCATTTCCTGGGGATAATAATATCCTGACAGTAGTATTGCTTGCACACTAGTGCTGGCTGCTAGTACAGTGGCAACATTTTGCTTAGACAAGTGATACCAGGAGAGAATCCTTTTTGCTAAAGCTGGACATTGTAGGTAAAAGCTTAAATCAGTAATTTTCAAAAGCTGGTTGCCCAAAATTCAGAATGTTAGCTCATAACAAAGTCCTGGGTAGACTATTTCAATGTCTTTTTGAGAGTGAGGTCAGTTATTTCAGCCCACTAATTAGAGTTTTGGTAGACAAGAGTTTAGCACTTCCTCTGGAGTTTCCCAGTGCAGGACAATGTAAATCCATCCTGAGCTGCAGAACATTTGTTTTTATAATTCAAGGCCTGTTCTAAATAGATACCATCAGCTGGGCCAGGCTGTTGAAGACAAATCAATTTGCATCTTGCAGAAAGACACTGGGCTCCCTTCAGAAAGTGAACATAGATGGGAAAGAAACTGAGATACCCAGAAAAGACAGGTCAGTGCTTTGGCCCCTTAGCACCTCCAGCCACCTGCAACATAAATGAGTTTGCCAGGTTAAGCAGGAGAGGAGCGGTGGTCACAAACACTAGAACGGAGCAGTATCACCCAGCTCCTACTCCAGAAGCAAACTGCAGAGGGCTTTGCTCTGTTTCCTACAGATATAATGCAAGGGAGGAGGAAGAATTACAGTGACCAGGCAGCATCTGTGTGAACACTGACAACACCCTCCAGTCTCGACAGTAGTTATCATGAGAAAATACGTTTCTGCTTTGTCCTTTCTTGTGTATGATAGAAGCAAACAAAATACTTGTTTCCTGAAAAGGAAATAGGTTTATTCTGGAATGTGCTGGGCAGTTCAGGTTCTTCTAAGTACTGAAGGATGTATATGTGGGATTTCAACATTTTTAACTCCTCCCAGGATATTTGTGCAATATTAGTTTTGACAGTTACTGCACAGTTTTTGCAGCGAATGGTAGACCTGACGTAAGGAAAGCTGGCCTCATTTGTGCTGTTAATGTAGTCTTTCTTAGAAGCAGAAGCTATTTGCAAGATCATAACTTCCCTCACAGACACTATTTTTAAGTGGATAAGAGTTCTCTCAGAGGAATAATAGTCTTACTTCTGTTCGCATCTGCGCAGTGTTTTCCTGATCAGGAGATCAAGAGAAAAAGGATCTGAACAACTGCTTCTCTAACTAATAATGAACAGAGAGCTGTGCAGTAAATCATAACGTGCAATGAAATAAAAAACAAAATTTGGCTGGAGATTAATGGCTGGAATGGGACTTATTGAATTAAATTGGATCAGATGTTCTCTGGAAAAAACTCTGAGATAGATTCACAATGGTCTATGGTATTGGCTTTGTTTTTCACAAAGGAAGATTTAACTTGAATGTTTTGTAACTACTAACAATTTCTAGGCCCTGGTGAGTGGTCTTAGGGGCTTGTGGGAAAGGACAGGCACTGGCTGGCTTGCAATCATGGTCCCAACAGGCAGTGGAGGTAACTGAACTCAGAGCCTCCCCGATACAGAGTGCCACAAACTTCTCAAGTGTTACAGGGGGCATTGCATTTTTACAAGATACGGAGGGCTGACTTCAGTTCCCATGTCCAAGGGCAGATTCATGATTACAGGTCTGCTACAGAGACAGACAACCCCATGGCTGTGCTCACAGTCCAACTGCACCTCTTATGTTCCCTGTTAGGTGGTTTAGGTGCCTCCTTCTTACTGTGTCTTCTCCCATTAACCCACTTTTAAGTGTCCAGCCTTCCGGATGTTGTCTAATGAGACATATGGGCAGCTGACTCGGGCTTTTGAATTTTCCCAGGGACTAAGGCACTCTAAACCTACCCTTGGCTTGGTATTTCAGTGCCAGATTTGCTTGTGACTCCAACTTAAGCAGCAAAACATTTGCACTTCAATCACTGCTCACTGAAGAAACCGGCCTAAAACTGTAAACCAGTGATGGGGATTGACACCTCCCATTGGTGCCGGTGGTTTTTCTAATCAGAGATGTCTCTTATCTTGTCAAGATCCAGGCTCAGGTCATTAATATAACAGAGGAAGGAAACCAAGGCTGCATAAATTGTCACTGATTGTGCTAGAGATACCAAAAGTCTTTCCTCTTTAATTAATTTGCTGAACTGCAAGTGAAACAGATGCACAGTCCGACAGGCCAAAAGGCCCACCTTGGTAGGTGTGATGCTGAAGGGAATGCACGCACCTGCCCCTCACCTGCTCTCAGGCATCTGGCAGATCTGCAGTGCTGGGTTTAGTGACTTTGCCTTATTAACTCAGGTTCCTTATGCTTTTGTGAAAAATGGACTTAACAACAGTTGCCTAAAGCCAGAAAAAGAGGAGCAAGACTACGTTATTAAAACCCAGAATGCAATATCATTTTAAAATTCATCAAAGTGCTTAAAGGAAATTCTCCAGAGACTGGGGACTTAGTCATCCAGGTTTCTCCAGCTCATTTTGATAATTGCCCCTTGAAACAGTTGTCTTTCTTTTTTTTTTTCCTCTCTTTTTCTAACACTGCCACTTGGTAAGTATTCACTGAGCAGGCAGCTCAACTCCACAGCTGCAGAAGGTCAAAAGAAACCTCAAGATTTCCACCATGCACATCTCTACTTTCTGTAACATGAGCCAACCGCATCCAAGTACATACAAAATACTCATCTCACTGTCACTTGTAGAGATATTAGCAACACTTTAGCTAGTTTAACTAATTAATGCACTGTTAAAATTAATTTCTTTATTAAGTGATTTATTAAAAAAAAGGTGGTGTTTAGAGACAATAATGTGTGAGTTATTCAGTATTTTTAACTACCTTCAGGCCTGGAGACACTCAGTCTCAGTACTTTCCTACCTTCTTGAAAACTATATGATCTGATTGCTTCTGTCTCTATAAATTCATACTGTCACCAAGACAGGCAGACCAAGTACTGTCACATGAACTTGAGCAGGAAACTGATACAACTGAAACTGAAAAAAGAAGTTATTTTTCAGCTGCGTCATTCCGTTGGTAAAAACATAAAACTTACATTACAACATACAGTTTCATTGTGGGGTTTTTGTGCAACTTCTACCCAAGAAAATCTAAAGATCAGTACAACTTCCCATTATATTGCCACTGGAAAATATGACAGCATCCATAGTAGTGCACCAATAGGGACTTTTTCCTGGGGTTTTCCCCTAAAAGTTTTGGGATTTTTTTTTTTAAATTTGTTTTCTTCCTCCTGATATCTCTTACTGACTGTAGAATTAGAGGTACAGTCTAGTATCTGCCCATACAGTCTTATATCTGAACCTTCTGGTGTGGTTCAGGCAGAAATAAGAAGGCCCTGCTGCAATGCACTTAGGAGATGCAGCATCCTTGGGGTAGGTGTCTGTCTCTGGGCTCAGCACTCTCTCTCTTTTAGTCAGCAAAATGAAAGAAGCAGTTTAGGCTGTGATTCATCTGACTTTGTAGACGTCTACTTTAGTACCTCTGTTTTAAACAGCTACTTCTGCAGGATGAGGTGAGCTGCACCCTATTTTCACTTGTCTGTATTTACTGTATCAACAGTAACAATAAAAGGAGCCTGGAGTGAGCAGCCCAGGCAAAGATACTTTGTCAGATACATCCCACTTTTTACAGACTAAAAGTTGAATGAGAGCTCACTAGAGGTAAAGAATCCCATTTACAGGGACTGAGTTTGGATCAAGTTGTTAAAGCTCTGTTCTGTCACTTTTGAGTTAATGTCATTTTTCTATGTAGACAGAAATCACAGAATCACAGAATAACCCGTGTAGGAAGGGACACACGAGGATCATTGACTCCAACTCTTAGCCCCTCCTGGGACAATCCCAAGAGTCACACCATGTGCCCGAGAGTATCATCCAAACACTTCTTGAACTCTGCCAGGCTTGGTGCTGTGACCACTTCCCTGGGGAGCCTGTTCCAGTGCCCAACCACCCTGTGGGTGAAGAACCTTTTTTCTAGCATCCAACCTAACCCCTCCTTACACAACTTTAGGCCACTGATTTCAAAGAGAAAATGATCCATGCTCATGGATCTGGGCATGAGTCACTAATGGGTAGATAAAGACACAAAGCACAAAAGAAGAGAATACTTAGGAACATCTTTCTATGCCTGTATTGAGGTTCCTATGTGCCTTGTATTTGGGGAAATTCTGTACAGATGCTTTGATAGTTCTGCACTCAGCTGAAGGACAGGATGGTTAGAAGTATTATTGAGCCAAAATAAATGACATTTTCACAGGGCTGCTGCTAAGTAGAACACTGGTTCTCGTTGGCAGAAGGGGAAGTCATGAAAAATACAACACTTTGAAGGGCAAAGCAGTACCAAGACAAGAGGGGTTGGCAGAAGGCACCGTGGTGCCATCCTTGTGATCAGAGGCTGGCCCTCTTCTTGAGACACCAGACTGGACACAAGCAGAAGTCACAAACTGGAGCTTAACGGTCTTGTCTTCAGTCTGATGTAACCATCTTACAAATATATATGAAATATATTAATTTCTGTGAGGTCTTCAGACACAAGGACAGTGCATGACCTCATTAGTACCTGACTAATCAATGAAGGCTGGAAGCAGGAGGAATGCTGTTTGCTTTGCTTGGGAGCTGCCGACGCAGCAGGAAGGAAGCACATGGAAAGTTCAGGTGCATCTGACTTTTTGTGCAGACACAAGTTGATCTTTAATATGGCTATACCAGGTTTAGTTTCTAATTTTAATACTTACTCTCTCCTAAAGTCACAGCCAGCAAATGGCTGATCTTGAATTCAGCCCAAAATCAGTGGCTATTGAGAGTGAGTGGGGGAAGTGACAAGAGGGCTTGATGTTGCATTCAGATTATATTATTAATCTGTAATCTATATACCATGCACAGGGCAGTTTGCTATAGACTATGTACTGAGTAAATAATTAAGCAGCAACTAACTGTACAGAGAAGGTAGGAAGTACTCTTGTTTGTTATTAGCCCCTCACAGTCTTCAGAAGTGGATTATAAGTAACTCAGAATCTTGGGCTATGGATGGCAACCTTGTCATCAAATATAAAAAAATACCCTTGATGAGGTCAGTGAAAGCTCTCCAGAGGTCTGAAGCTGGACAGCAGACACTCTGATTAGCTGCTGCGTCCACAAAATACAAATTCTTCCCTGAGCCCAAGAAACAGCTGATGGATATAGTCGGAAGTGATAAAAAGGGTCACTCTTAAGTGGATACAAGGAGATTTAACTCATAACACCATCATCCTGAAGCCCTTACACAAATAACAAAAGACAGGTTTCAAAAACTAGAGGGTCCTTCAATCTAAAGACTTACACAAATCTTTGTCATATATCTGAGTCTTAAAGAAAATTCGCCTCTGAATGAGACTGCAGAAATCTACCAAACAAGAACCCTTAGGCCTTCTGGCCCTCTATAGCAACATGCTGTCACATCGTGTGGTGGTGATATAGTACAAAACTGTGGAATTATTTTAGAATTATCATATTTTGCAGCATGAATTCCTAAACCACAAATTGTCCAGTGCAATTATTCTATAGCTTTTGCACAGCCCATCCATGATTATTTCATAATCATATGACAATCATATCAGATGAGGATGGAGAAGTAATTTCCATTTTAACAGTCATACCATCTCCTAAAACTAGGTTCTTTTCTATTCAGTTGCTATTTCTAAAAGCGCCATCCAAGCAAAGTTCTGAATCTTTCAGTTGATTTTCCATACATATTCTAACGTGGGTATTTCAAGATGAATAGAAGAAATCTCATACTTTGCCAATATATTTAAAAGTTCAGTGGAATGACCTCAGGATTAATAACCTGACATCAATCCAGTGTAAAACACTGGAATGGCTAATTCCAGGCACTATTTATAAAGAATCAGAGAAAAGTAATGCAATTCATGCCAATCAGGATGGAATTAAGTAAAATATATTTTATTTCAAGAAAGCTATCTTGATATTTTTTGAGGTTTTAAATTTTCTAGGGAAAAAATCTATACTACTGATGTAATACTTATAAACTTTGGTAGCACTTTTGGCACTAAACAAAATTTTGATTAAGAAACTAGAATTATCTAAAATCATCAATGTAATGATTGAATAGATTAAAAACTGAGCAATTTACATTCTTAAAACCCCTTATAAATAGGGACTCATCATCAAGAGGATGTCAGTCAGCTCTTCAGGGTCAATTCTGGGCTCTATGCTGGGTTTGTACAAGTCAGTAATAAGTTTTCCATTATTGGTTTTTTTCAGGATTTAGCCCATGTTTATAAGCGTGCTAATATTTTGATAGTGTATTTTTATGGAAGCACTGAAAACCCATACAGCTAATGTATGAGGTCAGGACAGAGCTTCTATTGCTTGGGACGCACTAAAATCAAGACCAGAGACAAACATCCTCAGATTTGCTTCACTGAAGTTTGTTAGACCACATTGTAATAGTGTTATCCAAATCATGGATTAGGACAAAGCCAAAGAACATATGTTTGTCACATCCTGTTTGGATGATACCAGCATAGACACAAACAGAACAAGCAGATTCTGGCACAAAATCAAAGACATTTTTGTTAAACTCACAGTTGTTAAAGAACATGTCAATTATCACATGGACTGAGTAATTAAATTCTATATTTTGCCCATGAAAATATCTTTAATATTGTAAAATGTCATTTTCAAAGACATTTTCAGCAGAACATAGACAGAGCAAAGATTTGATTCACAGCAGTTCAAATAACAGCTTATTTTTTTCATTTGCAGGAAATAAGTTTTTTTTACCTGCTTTATTTTAAAGCTTCTTGGGATATAAAAGCTTTCTGCTCAGTCATTGGCTGTAAATTGCAGAATGAAGCAGTAACCTACAGCATTTCCAAATGAAGTAGTCTGTTTATACAGAAAGCACAAGAGCTATAATTACTACATGATCACATTTGTATATCGAGGTCAGATTTATGTGATTCACGCTATTGTTTGGACATAAAGGGAGCTGATTTTTAGCATGGTGGCGCGCAACTACTATTATTGTTATATCACTGACTGTAGAAACAATATTAACTTTTGCTCATTTGAGTTTTTCTAGTTAGGTTAACTACAGCTCAGGCATGTTAGAAAACTGGCTGGTTAGTATTTGCCCTAAAATGTTCATTATATTTGCAAAATATGTATTTATATTATTACTGTCCAGGTTGTATATTCTATTATGAAAGAAAAAAAAAACAACAAAACCTCCAAAATAAAAAACAATTTAAGTCATTAAATGATTTATGCATGAAATCAGACAGAGTTTAAGCAATACCTAATGCAGGTAATTAAATAGCGTACAAAATATTTCCTGATATTTTCTTCTCCTTTGCAAAATCCCTGAATAAGATTTTCTTCTTGACTAGTACCAAATATATTGGCAAATTTTATATTCTGTTACTGAGAATCCATTGTCTCTCCATACTACTTAACCAGTTCTAAAAGTTTAAAAATATAAGGATTCAACTCATTATACTTACTAGTTAAGCATTAGAATTAGTCAAGCACATAGATTGTACCAATTAATTCAATATAATTGTATGTATTTATAATCAGGCACAAGAAAAAATGCTTTCCTAATGGAATCAGCTATTGTATTATTGTACTGAATTAAATTGCCACCCAGCTGCCATTAGTGTCAACCTGTTCTTAGTTAGACCCCTTTCTTACTGAAACCCCAACTAGTTTTTCTCTTTTTAGGTGTAGGTGTCCCTGGGTAAAAGGCAATCATATTTCTCTGGTTTTCATTGTTCTCTGTCTCTTCTGGGCTTTTATATTTCATGTTCACTTCTTGCTCCCACTCACATACTGTCATATGTAAGGATTTTACATAAACCTGATAGTATTATCTTCACATTGCCAAGTACAGCTGGGAAGCATTGGTTTTCCTTTTTTGGGGGGGTGAGAAATAGAGTCAAAATGCCATCTTGATGCAGCCTAAAATCTACTACTGTCTTTAGTTCAAGAGTTTCATAAAAGCTGTACTTAGCCTCAAAAGACAAATCACTCACGTGGGCATAAGGTTTGAAGAATTTGCCATTTGAATGGTGCCCTAATAAATTGTCCAAAGGTCGTAGATTCAGTGTTGAACCCACATGAGCACATTCACCACCTTTTCTCTCTCTAGGAGAGCCGCATATGTTTCCTTCTCAGTGCTGTTTCTCACCAATCAATGATGATAAATTCAACCAACTTGATTTCTTTATAAATATTTTTCTAGATTTCTTTGATATTTCATTTATTTGCTGGTTGCTGTTGTACCAAGAGGCCCAAAAATGAACAGGAGACATAGAAAGGGAATATAGTCATCCTAAACCACTGAGATCTAACCAAAAATGTTGATAACTCTGCTTATAGCAAATGAATAATTAAATAATATTCAGTAGATTCTTATAGCAGATGTAAAGAGACTCTGTGACTTTTTAGACTTACGAAAAATAAATTGCCATCAATTCAAAATGTAAATCATAGTTACTCGTCAACTCAGGTCAGCGCCCAATTTAGAAAGCAATGAGCCATTATATATATTTTATTTCTTGCTTTGATTTGAATAGTATAAACCTATGATGATGAAGGTGATTTTTTTGCCTAAGGAGATGGATAATATAATGAAAAGAAAGAGGCGTTCTGTAAAATTAAACAATTTTAAGCAGACATGTCATCATGGGTTGAATCAGATCCAGGGTTGCCAGTGGCTATGGTGGTACTCAGCTGTCTGTCAGGGGAGGCCCTTCCCAGTTCACAAAAAAAACCAGTGCAGTGCCCAGGCCTTCTTCTAACAACTTTTTTCATGCATGTAACACAACATTCAGGCATAATGTTCTTGGTTTAAGGTAGATACTTCTCTTGCATACTTGACTTCAAATCAAAGGACTCACCTCTTCCTTATGAGCAGAGCCAATAACCATTTCTTCTCCTGTGCTGCCAAACTGGTGGCATACCTGGTAGAATTTCAGATCCTTTCCAGTCAGTATGTAAAAATCTGAAATCTGCTGGTTAAAGAGCTGCCTAGCCCTCCTAATAACAAAAAAGCTCTTGACAACATCACTTGAAAGTATCATAAAGGCTCAGAAACAGAAAGGAAAAATGAGATAGTAACATCCCATCCAAAAAGTCTTATGTTGCAATTTTTAATTGAATCTCATGTGTCTTAGAGACAGGGATTATTCTGTTATTTTTAATGTTGAGGATTGGCAAACCTCCAGACCCACATGACATATCTGGAAACACCAAACAAACAGGACAAAACCCATAAACAAACTACAGCAGTCTCTGGGGAAATAGGTCAACAGGCCTAACCAGACTTCTCTTAGACAGAAGGTTAAAAAAAAAAGACTTATAGAGGAGGAAATGTGCTTTTCCTCATGGAATCAAGGAATCAAGTGATGTGCTCAAGTGAAAATGGGCAGACTGGTTAAGCAAAGGGTGTGATCTGGGAATGGTCTCCCACTCCCCTGTGGCCTTAGCTCCTCTGTTTGATCCCAATCTCATCCTTATGTGTCCTTGTCACATCTCCCATTCTGCCGGCTTACCCAGTCCACATCTCTCTGTCTCATGTGATTTGTCCCAGACTCCTTGCTTTATCAACTCATGGCAAAGTCTTCTGTGTAGCATTCGCCTTCCCAGCACCAATATCTGGCCCCAAAACCCTGTCAATCTTTTTTCTGCCTTGTCCTTTTGGACCAAACATGGCGATCAGCCCAGAAGGGCTCAAAGTGAAAGGTATGTGCCAGTTCTACCTACCTTTCTGAGGCTCTGCAGCATCTCTAACACCTTCCTTCCCCTAGAGCAACACAATGTTTAACCTGGAAAGAGTACACAATATAATAGCAGAGAAGTCTGATGAAAAACTGCAAAACCATTTATCCATGGTGTGCTATGACTGTCCCCCCACACTCTCCTTCCCTCTCTTACACGCAGGATTGCTCCCCGTCAGAACGTTTCTTGCTCCCAGTCTCTTTATCCTTCAAATCTTATCTCCATCTTCCAAAAAAGATCAGTCTGGTGCATACACCTGACATGGAAATTTTCAGCCTGAATGGTTAGACTGAAGTTATATCTGAAAACAGGGTCTTCTGAAGTGTCAGACAACTTGGACAGATGATGTTACCAGCGTTGCACTCAGTGCAGCTGAGTGAGTAGTTGCCACATTGAGTTAGACAGAGAGTTTTCCCAGCCAGCTAAATGAAACTCTCCTGTAGCAATTTTTAACAAGGTGTTATTTTTCAGGGGATTTCTATTGGATCTCATTACCACAATGAAATTCAAAATATCAAATTCAGTGATCAAATAACGTACGATAAATTGCCATCACTGAAGGATTAACAGACATTGTTTCATATTGACTGTTTGAGTAAGTGACCTTGTCAGTGCCGTAGTTTGGTCAGTTTTACTTCCTTGATCTTTTCTCCTCATCTAGGTAGGTTTCTGGTCGTGACAGATGAGACATGAGATCTTCAGCATCCAGGCTTTCAAGCTTTTCTTCAAGAGATTCACTATGGAATCGGTAAGAAAGACAAAAGACATAAACATAAATGACCAGGTTAAAGAGTAAAAAGCAGACCACAGAATCTATGAAAAATAAGCCCAGAAGACACTGATTTTATCAATTGTAATACCTGCAAGTGGGTTTTTTTTCTGCTTAATGCCACTTTGGACATTACTACAGTGCGTGTTTCTCAGAAAATGTCTAAATTACTGATCCTTCCAAGGATCAAAAATTCCAATAAAGCAGTAAATACTTATAAAACATTGATTACCTGAGCACGTACTTCAAACAAACACATTTATTACATATTTTGCTTTGCTGTAATAGATTTCAAAGCTGAATAAGGGACACAGGGAATAAAAAGGACACTCCTTTCAACTCATCTAGATCTAGTAACTGATGTTGTTTTAACTTTGAAAACAAGAAATCTCTGAGATCAGCCTGAAAAATCTATGGCAAGATTTGTGTGGGGGCTTGAAAAGAGGAGGGACTCTCTTTGCATGATATAAAGTGCTGAATAGCACACAGTTGTCTAAATATGCTTTTGTTTATTCAGTCTCTGGATGATGAGTGCTCTTGTTTTAAAGTTTCCACTGTGTTTCACTGAACCACTAAAAGCTACATTTGGATTGCCTAACTTGAACCACAACACTGATGGTTAAGGCTGCAGTGTTCTTTGTACCTGGTGCCCTGGCTGGAGCTGCCCTGGCACAGGTCACTGCTCCCCATGTGACCATCGCAACGCTGTGGGACTTTCATCTTTTCTTCCTCCCTGGGGGAATTAGTTGACCATATTGCACTCCAGACCAGCCAAGAGGGTGAATCACTGTTGCTGATCTTCTAAAAACTGAATAAATCCTCCTTTGGTGCATTTGCTTTGTCACATGGCTACACATATTTTTCCTTTTTAAGTCTATGATGTCTTAAATAAGCAAAAGTTCAGAAGTCAAACAACCATCTTTGAAAAAGATGGATACGCTGGACATTCTTATTTGATTTTGAAATAGCACTTACATTTTTACGCTCCTAGATTTTCTTGGAGAAATAAAACACAACCACCAACAAGAAAATAAGTAGTGTTAAGTTCCCTGAAATCAATTAAACCCAGTTTCATTTCATACTTTTGTCTTGACTGCTGCTCCTGAGGAGGTGCAAACCATCACTGAAACTTTTCCCATGACTGGGACACTTAGAGGATCTTTCTCCCACACTGATCGTCTTGATAAAGAACAAGATGATGGTGAGCCTTTCCTATCCTCAAAGGCAAGAAACAACTTTTTCCTCTGCTCATTTCCATTTTCCCACAACACTTTTATGAACCGAAGGATTTTGACATTTTTTCTACCCTCCTTTCAAATCTTATGGGATGAGCATTGCTTTAAAAAAATCCTTAGAGGCAGGATAGATGAGCAGATGGTCACCCTCTACAAGAGAGCCAGTTAACTTAGGAAGATGGAAGCTCGAATTCAGTGATTAAAAGTAGAAGCAAATGAGTAACCAGAGAAAGGGGCTGCTGTGGTGAACTTCTCAACTGAAATTCTGTACTTCTTTATTTCATTTAGCACCATGTAAACACTGATCCAATAGAGATTTGGTTCACACAGTAAGACTAGTTTCCAAAAGCTTCCATATGGTTATCTGACATCCTGAGTTTTAACAGAACCGCACAATTTCAACATTCAAACATGTACATTAAAAAAGCATGCAGACCATAATTTTAAATATTTAAAAATAAATATTTAAAAACTTTTGCTTGAGCATTAAAGCAGATATGCCTCTAATTATTTCAGGTCTTATGTATTGTTAAACATATTGATCTACCTAATAAAACGAACAAATAAACAAAAAACCCAAACAAAATAAAATCTCATTAAAAACCAAAAGACATCGCTCCTGAATTGAAAATTTCCTGTGCTACATTCAAGTCCAGAGTGTGGCTAAGTGATGCATCTTTGACAATAGTAGCTTATATGAGGGAAACACAGATATGCCAGTAAGTTGAGGGGTTGCAAGGACCTTTTTTATAACATCCAACATCTGCAGATTTATTTCCAGCATTTCTCTAACAAGATGCTATTTAGGAAATTAACAAATGAAATATGCTCAGTCAACACTATAAGCCAGCATTTGAACTTCAACTCAGTATGTCCATATACATTCATGTCTGCAAACTGTGTCTTAACAAAGCAGGTGTAAAGGCACAAATGAATTCTGTGCCTCTGTTTAGGGTCTTAGTCCTTCTTCTTCCACAAAGTACTGCTTTTATGCTAATAAAATCATAATACAGAGGGGGAACTCCATCACAAAACCAGATCTTTCTGCTTTATATTCTCACATCATGATCAACTAGTAGAAATAAACTTTTTCATTTACCTGCCAAACCTTTTTGTCTATCCAATAAAATGGTGACAAAATTGTTTGGCCTGGGAGCCCTTCCCATCTTTCAGCTATTATTTGAAACTCTTGCAATAAAATGTATAGTAAAAATACTTAGTTCTGATATAGCAGTACTCAGCTGTAAAAGCCCAGTGTGCTTTCACCTAGAAAAATAAATGTAGTTGTCTGCATTCCACAGATAGAGAAACGATGTACGCAGAGATCAAATGCCATGTCAGAGCCATGAGTGGCACCCCAAAGACATGATCCCAGGTGTACAGAGCCTTTATTTCATTTTCAAACTACTTCCCAGGTTCCTTTTGGTCTGAACCTCCATTTTCACTGCAGGCAAAACGCATGCTGCCATCAGCATACATTTAGCTGCTTAGGTAGAATCAGAGATGTGCCTGGTAATGACACAGCCAAATCATTTCCAGAGGGAAAGAGAAAATATTGAAATGTTTGCAATGTGGGTTGAGGCTTTATTTCATTCCCTTTTTATTTTGGAGAGCCTGTTATGCCAGCTGCCCTGCAACATGTTCATTTCTGCAGTATCATTCTCCGATTTTAGTCATTGCTATTTCTCATATTAAAAAAAAAAAAAAAAAAAGCATTCAGCTACTATGATTCCTGCTTTGGAAGGACTCTTATTTCTCATTTCAGTCAGAGTACCCTTTCATGATATATTGGCTTCATCTTGTCCTTTGCAATCCCATGGACACGGCCTGCTCTCATGGCAATGTGTCTGCAGTGCCCTTCCAACAATCCTCCATGGATTCGCTCAGGGTCAGGAATGCAAGGATAACCACTGACAGGTTTTCCTGTGCTGGTCCTCAACCTCACCAAAGCAGTGATGGTGGGAACTGCTGGGAGAGCAGCTCCCAGGGATCAGCAGTTCTTACATGACCATCTCTGTGAGTAAAGAGTAGGCACACCGTGGGCAAGGGTTAAACTTTCCAGTGGCTCCACGAACAGTTTTCTTATCCATCAGCACTCATTAGAGTTTGATATCTTTGGGCTGTCCAAACTACAGCCCTTATAGAAAAGTATGCTGCTGCTGCTTTTATATTCTGAAGATGTTGTAAGGGCTGTATTTTGAATCTGTTCTCTCCTGACACACAGAATCATAGACTATCCTGAGCTGGAAGAGATCCACAAGGATTATCGAAGTCCGGCTCCTGTCCCTGCATAGGACAGTCCCAAGAATCACACCATGTGTCTGAGAGCATTGTCCAAATGCGTCTTGAACTCTGGCAGGCTTGGTGCTGTGACCACTGCCCTGGTCCAGTGCCCAACCACCCTCTGGGGGAAGACCCTTTTCCTAATATCTAGCCTAAAACTCTCCTGACTCAGCTTCATACCATTCCCTAGGGTCCTGTCACTGGTCACCAAAAATAAAAGATCACTGTCTGTCCTTCCTCTTCCCCTCATGAGGATGTCGAAGACCACAATGAGGTCTCCCCTCAGTCTCCTGTTCTCCTGGCTGAACAAACCAAGTGACTTCAGCCACTCCTTGCATGGCTTCCCTTCTAGGCTCCTCATATGCAGTATTACACTTCCTATGAACTGACGTAAGGTTTCTTAAATGAGCAACTCTAACAAAACATTTCTGTAAAATAGAAGTACCAAATTCAGTACACCTGTAATAAGCAAAGGAACACTCCTTCCCTGTCCCGAGGCTGCTGCCTCTTGCCACAGGTGAGCATTTTCCTGTTTTCTCTTTGGAGGATGCAGAGGTTGCAGCAGAAAAGCCCATTGCTTGTTGATGGTGTTATTATTGTTAGCCTGGAATGCCATTACGCATTTGTCTGCATGACTCTTGATCTTGCGTGACAAAACCAAAAAACAAAGGCAAAACTGAGTCAGCAGATTAGTCAGCTTAATCTTGTGTAACTCAATGCTGCACTTCATTTTCAGTGCTGTTATTTTCAGCTGCCCTTTGAGATCGCTCTTTGAGCTTACTTATCACTCAGCCAAGCTGCTCACCCAGGACATTCAAGTAAATAAGATGGAAAACATATCATTCAGTAGAATATTTATGATGTTTTGATTTAATCTTTTTCATTTGGTACACATAGTGTTAAAACTGCAAGATCTTAATGTTACCAAAATGTCATTTATAACGAGAACACAATGAGTTCTCTTTTTGCTATCATATTAATATTGAAAGAATGCAAAAAGAACCTTCTGTTTAGGCCACTCTTGTTAGTGCTAAAAGGCTTTTAAACTAATACTGTAATTTCTGAGACAGTTGCTTATGTTTTCATATCTTATTTTAAATACCAAATGAAGACAACTGCTCGGAGATGCCAGTATTAAAATTGAAATCAGCTGATCCTTGTATTGAAAACAGTCACAGCAGCAACACAAATTGCTGATGCAGCTCATGTAGTCCATAAACCGCATTGGTAGATACTGTCACCTAAAACCACAGAATTGCAATCAGCATGTCTCCTGAACCTGGATTTTGGCTTTCTGCATGTACAGTAATATGATAGAGACAAGAACAGTTTCCTTTGGCTGGAAAATTACCTGACTGTTCTGTCCCAACGACACAATCATTTCAAAGATTTGTTTGCAAATGTCAAAGCCAACAGCCTTCTTTCTCAAGCAGAAACACTCCGCAGTTACCATATAAGTTTCCTTCAAGCAAATTAGCACCCATCACAATGTGTGATGTAGGCTTCAATGTTTAAAATAGGCTTTGCCTTTTCCGGTGAGTATATCACCCACTTATGTGATATTAAACGTGTAAACACGCTGCAGGTTAAAATATGTAGTTGCTACATTTTCTACAAGGCTCAGTCAGCTGTTGGTACCATCCTCTGAGAGGACACAGCTCCTGGAGGTGAAGCACCTCCTGACTAAACATTTTCCACTGAAGTACAAAGTGATGCTGCCGCTGCGTGTCCTTACATAAATGGTGTGGTTTTGTTTTTCAAAACAAAACTATGGGAGTTCCATTAACAAAAAAAGTTTACTGAGTTTTAGCACATGAGATACTCCAAAACCAAAAGCAAAACTCAGCCTGCTGAGATTCTTGTTGATTTGAAGCTTCTTTTATCCTCTAAGCCCAACATTCAACTCAAACAGCTGATGTTCAGAAATATTTGTGGATATTCCAGTACTTATGGCCATAAATTTATATAAACCTTTCCCATTAATTTTGTCAGAAGTTATATGAAAATAATATTATAAAAATGTAGCAACAGCAATTTACCATAGAGACATTTTCTCGGGGAATCTTAAACCAGTTTTATTGGGTATCAAATACCACCGCTGTCTTATGTCCTACAGTGATCTCATACAGTGAGTTAGGATCAGGAGGAGGATGGGAAGTAATGCTGACTGCTGTGTTTAGCTGAAATGGATAAATCTAACACCAAACCACAAATGTATTCAGGACAGCAGTATAGTAGAGAAACATAGCCTAAGGATATTTTCCTGATGAGTTTTAACACACCACTAGTTCTGTTGCTATTTGCTGCTGAGCTGGTGACACTTTCCATGTTGGTGAAGATGTTAAGGAGCGTAAAAAGAACAACTACGTAGTTTACTAACAAAAGCACGTGAATTTCAATGATTTTATGTTTTAATTAGACACTAATGTCTAATCTACACCATCTTTATCAGCAGTAATAGCCAAGATAGGAACCTTGCAAGCAAAGAAATGAGTGTAGTTGTAAACCCGTATTTGCAAAGTGGAATTATCTTGTTCATACTTGACAATCAAAAAACCCCAAATTTGACATGTGAGATCTTGGCATGACTATGCCTGTACTAATCAAAAGGAGTCATCTGCACAGTAGCCCTGTGCACACTGATTTCCTTCTCCAGCTAACAATTCACTTCAGCGCCACACTGACAGGCTGCAAATGGCCCCGGAGGCAGCTTGTCTGAGCATGCTTGACAGCAGGGATTGGTGTACAGCCAGGGACTTGGGTCAAGCTTGTTTACAAAACCAAGCAGCAACCACACCTTTGTGGTTTGTATCTGTGATCTTGCTTCCTATGCAGCAGGGAAATGTGACCTCAGGGTGGTCCTGGGGCTGCTCTCTGTGGGCAGCATAAGCATATCCCACAGGAGATCCACCACCAGCTTCAGCCCAGATGAGGTGTTGATATCCTGAAGAGCTGACTTTGCATGACTAAAGCTAGAGAGCCACAATCACAGGAGGGCCACAGGCTTCTCTATCTGGCTCCTTATCTATAGTGGAAAGAAAATCTTGTTCTCTACCTCACCACTATGTGGTTTCAACAGTTAAATGCATTGATGATGTGAAGAGCTGTGCAAGTGCCATGTAGCTCTTCACCTCTAGCACATATTGGTCATGCTGCAAAGTTTGCAATGATGACAATAGTCATCATCACCTGATGACTCCTGCTCTCAGCTCTTGTGAATGAACTGATGACATCAATCTAAATATAAGCTGTCTAGAGGTCTATAAAATGAAAATACTACAGTTGCTATTCAGTTTATTGCACAACACCTGTGCTAGTAGTTTGTACTCTCATTGCCATGTTCCTTAGCCTCTCCCTAAACATGGTGACTATCACCAATATTGCAGAATTATTATCAATTTGCTGTAATTAACTCTCCTGTTGGCAATCACGGTACAAAAAGCCAGGGAATTAAATGGATTTGTAGACTGAAACACTGGGTGGGATGGCAAGACAGCACAGGTTCCTTGACTGCAAGGCATCAGCAGTAAGGTGTGTGCTTTCCCATGCTGTTTGCATGATCCTCACCAGCACTAGCTTGTCCCAGGATGGACACAGAGATGCATTTCACTTCAGAATACCAAGAGGAGTGAGATAAGCATAACTTCACTGGCAAGCCTTCCATGAGAAAAAGGCTGCAGCACAGCCTCCCCCAGGATCTAGCACAGACTAAGATAGCGTTAGAGCAGACACTGTGAAATATAACTTTCACACTCTGATGATTATTCTTTGACATTTGTGAAGTGAAACAGTGACTTCAGTTAGTGACAATTTATAGAGAGGTGCATCCTACAAATTTAGAATTGAATCTCAGATACTGATCGCAATTCAAAACAGGAGACATGGTAAAATCTGAAATCCACTAAACGCTATCTGACATACTTACAGAATTTGACTAGTTTAAACCTAAGCACATTTTTATAGGCAGCTTGTATAATTTACTTTTATTAACATCACATTAATTAACTAATCTTGCTTCCAGTGAGTTTAAGTGAAGATAATCCAAGCCTAAAGAGGTCATGCCCATAGGGCTATTTTCTTTACCAACATTTGTACAGGGGCAGGGAAATGCTGCTTCTATGCAGCAAAACAGAGCAGCATGTTCTCTTAAAGAGAGTTAAAAATTTCAGAACTGTCAAAAAAAAAAAAAGGCAATTATGATCGGTAATTACTGATCTTTGTTTTTCTTTAGGCCTTGTCCTGTTCTCTTTATTTACCAGTATTCTTCTGTATTCATTCTACTTTTTATATATTTAATATTTCATTTCAAAAGATAATTTGTTTTCTGATGAGGTAACACAGAAGCTCAACTGCTGTTACTCTCTATTCAGCTTTCACTTCTGTCACTCTTCACTGCTCCAGTTTCCCTGGCCTGCCTACTCCTCTTCTTAGTTGAACATGCTCTTCAGTTCTGCACTTTAAATTTTCTCAAAATAGTATTGCAGAAATGACATCTTTAGCAGTATGTCCAGCTTCTGTCTGCACTCCCTCAGGTAGGATTTGTTTGGGATAGCACATAAGGTTATTTTACAGTCCAGAGACTAGTGCTCAAGCTCAATAACTTCAGCCTGAAGAGGAGCAGTTCAACCTTAACAGCGAGAGTACCCAATTAATTAAACCAGTTAGCCCATCAGTGCAATGGATTTATCCTCACTTGATATCTGCTACAGAGGGATCAGGACTTTTCCTAATGTGAACACCATGTCTGTCATGCAGACCACAGGCCTGGCCCAGGAACAGCTGTGTGACAGCCCATGATTGATGTTCTGCAGGAAATTACAAGGGATGGACACAGAGACCCTGTTTGGCCCTCAGGCCATATCCCAGTCCCTCGCCCATCTAGTTTCCATGCAGGCTGGGCATGGAAGCTGAAGCAGCTCTTTTGGATGCTACCAACTGCTCTTCCCTGGCCCAACCCCCCAGCCAGTTCTTCACTCTCCATAATGCTTCTGATGCCACCAGCCATTTTTATCTTCTTAATCTCTCTTCCTCCTCCACTGCTCTTGCGAACAGGATCCTCAACTGATTTTCTTCCTACCCTTCCAGTCCCTTATTCAGTGCTTCAGTTTTGTTTTTTTCCCAAATCCATTTTTCAGTGCAACTCCCACACAGTTCTTTTCTTGGCTTCCTCCTCCTCTTGCCTACTCTACCTTGCAGAGTCTCATGATGTTTAACAATCATCTGTACGAGCTCCGAGCCTTTGTGCCAGAAAGCTGGATCACGTGAAGCAGCAGCAGCAGCAGCAATCACATGGCCATATGGAGGGCTTCTGCTAAGGCAATGAAATCAAAGAAACATGTTCAGGCAGGACCATTTCTCAGCAGTATTGGTCATATTTTTTCTGGCAGAACTGCATACAAATCATTTTTTATGGGTACACACAAATCAGGTATCTTCTTTTTATGCTTACTCAGGCATTGCAGCCTTTAGTTGATACTGTCAACTATTTTTGAGTTGTACAGTCATTTTATTAGAATCACATACAAAACAATGTAAAAGCCTAAATGCATTGTAATGCAGTAGGTCCTTATACAGAGAATATAAAAACTTTTGAAATGGATATAGCCATATAATATTGCTCATTTTTAGCTGTTCAGTCTTGAGTATATTTCCCATTCCTGAATGGCTGAGCTTATGTGAAGAGAATCACAAACACAAAGAGTAGGAAATCACATAGTATGGCTAAATAAATCACACTGATACAGCAGATGACCATAATTACTTGAGCCTCCTGAGACTTAGCCTTCTTTAGAAAGGAACATATGGGTCCCAAAACCTAAGCTTAAAAAAATATCATTAGAGCTGTCTGTCAGTTCCCTGAGTTACATGACGCAATAATGGAAAAAAGGATATGTTAGCTTATTCAGAAATAGTGCTTTGGAGGGGACTCAGGGCTGCAACCCCCGCGGTTCAGGTCTTGGGGCAGCGCTGCTGCTGCTGCGACCCGGCCATCGCAGCAGAGACAGAGCCCTCGCTCTGGGAAGGCTCAGGTAATACATAATCGGCGACAGCAGCTTCTCTGAGACATAGGACTTCTTAAAAATTAACGAAGTATGAGGGGGGTAAAAACCTACACAGCCAGGCTGCGGAATGGGATGGCTCTGTCAGCGGGGGCTGCACAACACCCCCGGCTTTACATCACCGGCGGATGGGGCTCCGACGGCTGTAACGGACCTGAGAAAGGGGGAAAAGAAACAGCCCCTCTGGCTCGCCCCAGGGGTTCCGTGGACCGCGGGGCGGGCACACCGTCCCTCCCTGCTGCCACACGGCGCAGGAAGCCCATTCCCCCGGCTGCCGACAGCGCTGGGCCGCAGCACTCGGCGACCTTGCCTGCTTTCACCTAAAAGCCCTTTTTTTAATCGTAAGAAAAGGGAAAAACGCACATCACACGCTCCCCCCCTCCCCTCCCCTCCCCTCACGGCGGGGGCGGGGGAGGGGAACGGCAGCCGCGCCTGCGCGGAGCCGCTTCCTCGTTGTCCTCCGGCCGCGGCGGCGGCGCGCGGCGCGTGCCCGCGAGCGGTGCCCGTCAGCGGAGCCGCGCCCGCCCCGGCCCCGCCCAGCCCGGCCCGGCCCCGCCTCTCCCCGGCCGGGGGGCGCAGCCCGAGCCCGCACAAGTCAGTGCTCCACTCGGGCGGGAGCTGCGGCCGAGGCCGGGGGGGGGCGTGGGGGAACTCGGCGCGGGTGGGGAAAGGGGCTGAGCTCGGCGCGGTCGCCGCTCCCCTCTCCCGCCGCCCTCCCCGTAGCGCCGCGGCGGGGCCGGGCCGGGCTGGGCGCTGAGGGGCGGCGGGAGCGCTCCCCACCGGCGGGGCCGAGCGAGGGGCGCCGTGCGGGGGCGTCTCCCCCTTCACCTCCTGCCCGGAGGAGGAGGGGGCGGCCGGGGAGCGGCTGGATGCAGCGGGCGAAGCCTCAGCCTCCCTCTGCGGCTCCGCTGCTTTGATGCTGCGGGTCTCTGCTGGCTGTTAACATCTTCTTCCCTCTGCTTTTTTTTTTTTTTTTCCGTTTTCTTCCCGCCCCCCACTCCCCCCGCCCCCCGAAACTTGGCTTCTCCTCGCTCCGGATCTGTGTGCTCGGCTCCTCCTGGGCTTTACCGGTGGGGCAGGATCATGCCGGACCAGATCACCGTGTCGGAGTTCATCGCCGAGACCACAGAGGATTACAACTCCCCGACCACCTCCAGCTTCACCACCCGGCTGCAGAACTGCAGGAACACGGTCACGCTGCTGGAAGAGGTAAATCAAACACATCTACACCCCACATCCCCTTTTTATTTTCCTTTTTCCTTTCTTTTTTTCTTTTCCCCCCCTCTGTCTTTGAGAGAGCATCAGGGACGGGGCAGCACTACCCGCCCAAATCCACGGGAGCCAGAGGCGTTGGTATGCATGTAATCTGGTCTTTTAATTGTGGGACTTTGCTCTTGTGTTGAGCTAGTTACAGAAAGCTTTCCTGCCCTGGCGTCTCAAAGATTAGTGCGTAAAGCAGTTGTCTGAACTTAACTATTACTGTGGTACTTCTTGGTGTTTTCAGTGTTGTCGGTTGCTGCAGTAGTAAAAAATGCATGAATGTTGGTATTTTTAGAGGAAAGATAAGGGATGAGTTTTGTTTGGGAGCGTTTTTAGAGGTTTTCCCCGGCCACTCGTTACATCAAGTCAGCGCAGAACTCTGACTGCAGAAATCTGCCAAGGGAGACTTTGTTTAAGAAATGAGGTAAGGATGAAGGGATGAATGTGGAGTGAGGGAAACAATATGAAAACAAAATTGGTGGAAGGAGAGGAGCAAAATAATGCAGCTAAAAGTGATTACATAGTCTCAGCGTCTCAACCTTGAAGCCTCAGTGTTGGGGTTTTTTCATGCTTGTTATGAGCATTATTTAAATGTTCACTCTGCTTTGCTGTCAAGAAATAGGAGTGTGAAAATGAATAAACTTCCAGAGCTGGTTTCTAAGGGATATCAGTCTCCTGCTTCCTATTTGAGGCTTCAGTGTGATTTCCTATGGACTAGGTCAGCAGTTATGAGGAAATGTCTTCCAAATGACTTTAAAGAAGACAGTGTATAGCTCTTCTCTTGCCCTTTGCTTGCTTGAAGGTACAAGCATAATGACACTGGAAGAAGACAGTTTTTTGCTGTTGTTGCATAGGTTGCAGTTAATTGTTGCTTTGAATTATACACTTAGTTCATCAAGTATTTGTCAATTCTTCAGGAGCCAGCATATATCTAGGAGATGGATTTAACAAGTCTTAGTTTTGCTGAATGTGCTGGCATGAGCAAAACATTTGGTATGCAAGGAAAGAGTATTAATCATTTAACTATGGTGTTCCCCTGATGATCTTGGGTATAGAAAATATAATTCCATAGGATTAAGATCAGTTAAAGTTGCCTTAGTAGAAAAAATGTCTATGTTCAAAATTGTAACAGTGCTATTGTTTACATCAACTGACTAGAGTGATTGTAAATTCACATTTAAAATTATATATTTTATTTTTATTATGTAACCTAGATTAACTTCTGCAGCTTTTCCGTAACTGTAGCTGTTTCGTTCTTCTCTTCCTCTTGTAACTAAGTCATGGTTGCTTATAGATTTGTCAGAAATCAACCTGTTAGGTTTGTGTTTGACAGTATTGCTGCCCCCTGGTCTTAACTGTGGAATAGGTATAGCCAATGATACGCTTATTAGTACAGTTGACAGCATGTGCAGAGTTAAGTAAAAATATATATTTTGTCATTACTGGCGACTCCCAGGGTAAGAATACAGCGTAATGCTTTCATGATTTGGGAGATACTTCGGAACAGGCTGAATGTGGTAATGCCTGTCCAAAGAAAACCAAAATACGGAAGATAAATATACAATGTTCTGCACTACTTGTGTGGATTGTGCGTATTTTCAAAGTTTTTATGTCTGATTTGACAGCAATAAATCAGAAGAATAAAGAATAGCGGGCGCTTCTGGTGCTTGCATTGCTATTTCTTTCATTTCTTTTGTTTGTATAACTGTTTTATGTGCTCCATTTAAATTGTTTGCAGTTTAGACTGATTCTGGGCTTGTCTTCTGTAATTTTTTTATTATCTGTAAATATAAAAAAGCTTTATTTGATGGGAAACAAGATATAAATAAGCTCTACTGTTATATGTGCAAAAAATCTGCAACTGTCTCAAATTTGTGCTTATTAATTTGCATGGAGAAATACAGATGGTCAGGATGTGGCAGGCAAAGTGCTCCTTTGGAGCTTTTGTGTAAGCAAGCTACAATTACAATGAAGACACAGTTTTACTGCTGCTGCTTTCAGGCTGGGCTGGTTTCTATACACCTCCTTACCTAAGGCAGTGCATCCTGTGAAACAGGGGCTGGAAAATGAGTGGTTGAAGTGGGTGTTCTGTAGCTCCTGCTGCTGCTGCTGTTGTCCATGCATCATGGATGACCGATGAGCTCTTCAACCAGCTCCTGAACTTCAATTCTGAGCATTCTGTGTTAAGGCAAAGGGGATGATTCCACCCTTGCAGCTGTTTGATTTTTAACTGAGTGTTGCATCTGGGTTGGAGCTCTCACTGGGCTTTTGCAGGCAGTGTCAGGCTCTGTGCTGTTGTGGTGCTGCTGCCTGAAGTATCTTAGGTCATTATTTTACAGCTAATTTAATTCAACACAACCTGCACCTACATCAGTGACTATGAGCTAGTTTGTGGATAAACTAATTAGTTTCTTTATTCTAAACAAGATTGCAAATGGGAACTAGTTTCTGAACAGAAATGGCAGGGGAATGAAACAGATTTAACAGAAGTTAGATGTGTTTTCCAGCCTCTCAGTTTGGTGTGATTCCCACCATAGCTCAGATCAGTGGTTAGATCAGAACCAACTTTTCATAAACTACTTTGACATAAAAGAAATAGATGGTTTTGTGTGTGTATGTGACTCTATCTAGTTCCCTGAAGTTATTACAAAATCGTGGACTTACTTTTCCTTAAACACAATTAACAAGTTTTCTGAAATAATAAAATAGGTGATTCTTCTCGCTTGCCCAGCAGTGGAAGGGCAGTGTGTTCAGCTGCCTGAATTGCTGTATATTATCTCCTAGCTGGGATTTTTTTTTTCCTGTTATAATTAAAATTCTTTTCAGAGGAGATTTTGGATCCCGTTAGATGCAGTTCTGGGACAAGTTTCAGCAGACAGGCTTACATGTTTTCAGCAGACATGTTTACTGATTCTGATGACTTTGCATTTGATCAGTTTTCAGTGGAAAGCACAACAAAATACAAAGGCTAACTTTATTTAAATCTATTGTAATGGTATCAAAGAAGGTAGTACGAACATGCTACTATGTAGCAGTTTATTGAATAGGAAGGTTTCATGCTACATTGTTTAAAATACTGAACCTTCCAATAATTTGCAAGTTTTTTTCCTTTTAAGAGACAAAACTAAAGTTTTTGTGATCCAGTCACAGCAGAACAAAAAAAAAAAAAAAGACCCTGCCATCTTTGTAGCCAGGCGTAGGCATCTTATATAGTAGTTACCTAAAACTGCAAGATTTTTTTTTCCTTATGATATTTTTATTTTTAAAGCAGGAGTGTTATGTGATTGCCTCAAGTAAACACAAATTTTAAGGTTCATTCTGTTGCTAAAATAATGGAACTGTTTTTCAAAGTCGTAGAGGGAGAAACAAACCATTACAATGTAATCAAAGTCTAATTTGAGAGAATTGCAATCTCTACTCCTTTCTGTTGATTCCTTCCTCATAATGTTAAGTTCTTGCAAAGAAAAAAAACAAAACATTTTTAATATATTTCTGCATGCAATTGGGAATAGTTTTATATGATGGAATACCTTTTCTCTTTAGAGAGGCTGAGAGAGTTGGAGTTGTTCAGGCTGGAGAAGACAAGGCTCCAGGGAAACCTTAGAGCAGCCTCCCAGTGCCTTAAGGGGGTTACAAGAGAGCTGGAGAGGGACATTTTACAAGGGCATGTAGTGATAGGACAAGGGGGATTGACTTTAAACTTACTTAGATACAGGGAAGAAATTCTTTACTCTGAGAGGGATGATACAATGGAAAAGGTTGCCCAGAGAGGTTGTGGATGCCCCATCCCTGGAAGTGTTCAAGGCCAAGTTGGATGGGGCCTTGAACAACCTGGTCTAGAGGAAGGTATCCCTACCCATGGCAGGGGGCCTGGAATAAGATGATCTTTAAGGTCTCTTCCAACCCAAACCATAATATGATTCTATAATATTGATATGAAGAGGGAATTATTGCATATGTAGATGAGTGGTTAATTACTTTTTTAAAGAAAAAGGTTGAAATACTAAATATAGACAGATTAATGATACAGTCTTTTGAAATACAGCCTCTGCTTTGTTCAGACCAGACATGCTTTTATATCCACAGAAGCT